GTGTGTGTGTGGACCTCCAACTTTTTGTCGGGCTTTCCTGGTAGACCGCTTGCTGAGCAGCAGTTGCCAGGCAACACCATCCGGTCAGGCAGTGAGCTAAGTTTTGGCATCCGTGTGTCTTGGCAACAGTGTTGGGTTCGAGGGGATTCGTTTCCGTTTGCAGAAGCTTTCTGCTCGTTATCTTCACGCTCACACGGAGCTGCAGCTGCAGTTTATCTGCTTTTACACCACACGTCAGCACGCTCTGCAGCTGTGCTTCAATTATTCACAGCACTTTATTACACAACACAAAACAGTCGGCTCTAATGAAGACGCTTCAGCGAGAAGGTAAACCAAACTGACATCAAATGTGCTGCTAAAAGGAAGTTCAGTGCTTCCTACATGAGGAAGAAATCCTCAAGGGTTCGCTTGGAAATCTTAAAAGAAAACGATTCCAGAAACTCTGAAGATAAAAAGTGCTCGGATAAAGTTTGGAAAGCCGACACGCACAGCCAGCGTCTCTGTGCATCAGCAGGTTTACAGCCATCTGTGTAACAGAGTTAGCTCCAGCTGTCAAACAGCTCCCGTGGTCTCCACAGGTGATGGTCCGAGTGGTGTCTGACAGCGAAAAGTTCCCAGCAGCAGCGACCGTTTCAGAGTCTTTGCACAAACACCACAGGTTTTTACAAAAGTCGAAAACACAAAGCAAACATCTTTGATCCATCAGCTGGATGTGAGAGCGTGCCCTGTTTTTATTTGAAACTGCTCCACAGCCACACAGACCGAGTACAACCGAGAGACATTCAGAGCACTGTTAGCGAACACGGAGAGGTAAGAAACAAAGATCCCCCGAGAGCAAGGGAGTCTGAGAGGTCCCAAAGAAACCCAGAGGAATCTGTCAGCGGCTGACGGCCTCGCTCTCGTCAGCACTCAGCTTCAAGGATACTGGAAGGTTAGTGGTTCGAGTCCCGGCTGCTCCAGTCCGCATGCCAAAGTATCCATGTTCATGAGAGTGCACGTGTTAGATGTGTGAATGAATGAATTGCTTCTTGTTTTAAGTTGAGACACGAAATATGAAAAGTTTCTGATGTGATGGTTGTTGATCAGTGTGATCAGTGTGTGTGGTGAAAGTGTTTTCCTGTGGATGATGTGAGGAGGCCACCAACATGAAACAGACGGATCCAGCTCCCATCAGATATGACATCATTCTGACTAATGAAAACTAGACCATGGCTAATATTTGATTCATCTGGGTGTATAGGTCAGAGGTCAGAGTTCACCTGCTCTGTGTCTTTGCACTGAACTGACCTGAGGTCAGGTATGAAGACCAATATCAGGCTGTCAGTACTCACTCTGCACCGTCGCCGTCCTGGTGCAGTTGTAGAGTATGGCGAGCTCTCCGAACACTTTGCCCGGTCCCATCGTGCACAGCTTCATCCCCTCCTTCGTCACCTCCACCTTCCCTTCTGGGCGAGAGACAGTCACACACAGCAGGACAGAGAGAGAGAGAGAGAACAAAGACCGTCAGTCTCAGCTTGTGTTTCTTGTTTTCTGACTCAGAGTTTTGGCTGATACAGAAACAGCCTCGCGAAGGACAGGTGCACTGTGGGAAATGTAGGCTCTTTAATAGGCTGTGTTCTAACCTGCCTGACTCTGCAGACTCACACAGCTGCTGCTCAGCTGTTAGGGCCCTGTAGTATTATGATGTCATCAGACGACGTCTGAGTAAGATAAGATAAGATAAGATAGAACTTTATTAATCCCTCGGGTGGGTTCCT